AATTTACAATTATTAAGCTGAGTAACAAACTAAGGGAGACAAGGGTTATACGTAATAAATGGAGACGTAACATATGGTAGCCAGAAAATTTATTTTTATTAATTGGCAGTTTTAAAAAGTATAGCTAAAAAAATCACGGCTGAAACAAATTTTATAAAACTTGCTAATCCAAAAATGTGTTTGTGTTTGTATCCAAATTATTTTATTGTTTAATATAATTACTTACAAATACTAAAATATATATTGAATGGAAATAAACATTTTTCTACGCGCAATACTATATTTATACGTGCAATATTAAATTTTTATCTGCAATAGTAAGTATTGATCTGCAATACTAAACTTTTATCTGAAGTAATAAATTTTTATCTGCAATACTAAATTTTTATTTGCAATACTAAACTTTTATCTGCATTTTTAATTCTATATACAATGTTACATTTTTATTTCACATTGTAATATGTTAATAACAAAACCGTAAACAAATAATATAAACATAGATATTACTTTTTTTAGAGTATTTTAAATCAACCATAAAATATTGTAAATAAAGTAAGAAATAGTTAGAAACCATGTGTCTTGCCTTAACCAAACTGAAGCCATATTTTTTTACATATATCCATACAAAAGAATTGACTTTATTTAATGCATTGAAACTATTTCATCGACTTTAACTTGTAAATTATAAAATACCGTATTCTTTTATAGAAACTTTACGATTTTTTAAGTCAATAACTTAACTAATCTAATTGTATTAAATTTATAATAAATATAACATATAATCTAATTAAAAGAACAGTGTGAAAAGCTCAGCTATTGAGTTCCTTGTAAACGAAACACTACAGCAATCACAATGTTTTATAAAAATTAACGATGGATGTAATAATCCAAATGAAAATCTTATTTAAAATGGAACAAATCTCCCATTTGTTTTTTTATTTTTTTTTTAAATTTCAGCAAGCATATAAAGGGTTCTAACATTAGTGTTTACAAATCAAATATTAAAACATTGAAAAATAGTTAATTTAATTGCAGAAAAAAACTCAAAACTCTTGCTACAGGTGAAATACAATGACTTGAAAATAGTGTGACCCAGTGGCGGATTAAAACTTCTTGGGGCCCGGGGCTATTTTTGTTTTTAAAGGCCTTTTTATGGGCCAAAGTTTAAAAAAAATAAAATAAAAAAAGTCCTGTAAAAATTTTTGGGGCCCCTAAATTGCGGGGCCCGGAGCTATAGCCCTCCTAGCCCCCTTGATCCGGCACTGGTGTGACCAATGACTTGAAACTGGTGTGAATTTCAGGTTGTTTTATCTTTGAATAACCAACTTCAAATAGACAACGATGCTGATATTAACTAAATTGTCACCTGCGTCTGTGTTTAAACTACCCATTACTGCAAAGTAAAAAATTTATTTGAAGAATGAAATACGAACGTCATATGCTAACGAAACTGGTGATGTAGATGATAGTAAAAAGAGTACAATATTTCAGTCTGACATCATTGTTGCTATAGTTCCCATGACATCCTTGTTGCCATAGTTCCCATCACATCCTTATTGCCATATGTTCCCATCATATTCTTGTTGCCATATGTTCCCATTATATCCTTGTTGCCATATGTTCCCATCACATTCTTGTTGCCATATGTTCCCATCACATCCTTGTTGCCATATGTTCCCATCACATTCTTGTTGCCATATGTTCCATTCTTGTTGCCAAATGGTGTTATTTAAATAAAATTGCATATTACAACAATAGTATTTAAAGTATTAAACCTAAAAATTTTGCTACAAACTATGAACGCAGATCCAAAAACCTCTATATAAAAAAGGATCATAAAAAGCCTTCGAAAGTATTTTTCTAAAAGTAGTAAGGGGTTGTCCATTAATTACGTCGACAAAATAGGGGGAGAGGGGGTCTAAACTTTTTTGACAATTGTTGACAAGAGGAGGGGGGAGGTCAATTAAAATTGATGTGAAATTTTTTTTTTTTTTTTTGAATTTTATTGCTTAAATAACGAAAAATTAGGCTGAGTTTGTAGCGTAGCTTCTTTGAATAGTGGGAGCACGGTCGTTTAGATATTAGTAAAAAGCGCTATGTTTAGGTACGCATGTGGAAAAACTTTTGAACTTTTAAAATGGCTACGGTTTTTAACTACAGAGAATATTTTATATGGCAACAGTTTATTTGTTAATTAATTTCTGAAAAGCCAATGATATAGCCTTATTTTTAACGTAAATCAAAAAAATAATACAAAGATTTCACAAAAATATAAATAAATAGAGGTAACAAAAATCTTTGCGCGCTAAAACTGTATTTTTACTTAATACTTTTTTAGTGTAAATCATAGATTTGTTTATTTATTTGAAATCAATTTTCTAAAAATCTGACTCTAGGATTTCAATATTTTTTTTTTTAAACTTCAGATAAATATGTTTTATATGTATGAAATTTTTCTGGTCATTGGTTCAACTTTTTTTCCATATAAAAATATGTTTTTACTGTCATGACTATTTCCTTATATATCTGACTTATATATATGACTATTTCCTTATATACTGTCATGACTATTTCCTTATATAAGTGCAATTTGATTAATTATTTTGTTATTTACTATTTTTCTGACTATATATATATATATATATATATATATATATATATATATATATATATATATATATATATATATATACAAATATATAATATATAATATATGTGTGTATGTGTCTGTGTGTCTGTTCAATAATACACACACATACATATATGTGCATACTCACACATACATATATGTGCGTATGTATATATATATATATATATATATATATATATATATATATATATTATATTTTATATATATATATATATATATATATATATATATATATATATATATATATATATATATATATATATATATATATATACACATGTATATATATACACATATATATATACATATTTTTTTTTTTCTATTTGCACTCCCAACAAGGCTGCAAGCAACCACTATTAAGTTGGGAGTTACTAAGAAAAAAAAGAACAAAGTTATAGAGCAAAAAAACGGTTGACAGAAGACTTGAAAAGTTGAAGGTTGTATGAATCAGGAAAACATGAAGATGGGAGAGAGTTCCAAAGGATTGAAGTGCGGGGAAAAAAACTAGATGAATAAAAGTTTTTAGAGCATGCAGGGACAGATACAGTAAACGAATGAGACTTAGCTGAATGACGAGTAAAACGAGAATGAATTTTAGTTGATGAAACTAGAGATGATAACTCCTTTGAGCAGTGACCATGATAGTATTTGTAGAAAAGAGAAAAAGAGATGCAACTTTACGACGATGGGAAAGAGGTTCAAGCTTAGCAGATAGTCCAGGTCCAACAACATTTACAATGCGTTTTTGGACCTTGTCAAGAAGAGAAAGTGAATCGTTAGAAGAACCAGCCCAAATATGACAACAGTATTCCATACAGGGACGAATAAGAGGTTTGTAGAGGTAGAGAATGGAATCAGAAGTAAGGAAATGGCGAGCACGATAAAGAGAAGCAACCTTAGCAGAAGCTAATTTAGTAATTGATTGTATATATGGTTTCCATGAAAGGTCAGCAGTAAGCGATAATCCAAGAAGACGTAAAGAGGAGGACTCAGTAAGAGGATTGCCATTCATTAATATAGGAATATTGACCATATTACGGTAGTTGTTTGCAGTAAACAACTGGGTTTTGTTAGAGTTGAAATTCACAAGCCACTGTGAACCCCAATCTATTACTGAAGTGAGATCGGATTCAAGATCAGCTGCTTGTTCTAGACGATCGAAAAAGAAGAGTTTTTATCAAGACAGGAGTATAAAGTTGAATCATCAGCAAAAAGAGCTACTTTAGATGAAAGGTTGTCAGGAAGATCGTTTATGTAGATAAGAAACAAAACAGGGCCCAGGATGGAACCTTGAGGAACCCCAGAAGTTACTGGAAATAAAGAAGAGTGTTGGCCTTCAAGGATGACTTTAATAAACCGGTTAGAAAGAAATGATTTGATAATCTCAAAAACTTTCCCAGAAACACCACATGAAGCAAGCTTATGGAGCATGCCAAACTTCGTTGAAAGCTTTAGATATGTCGAGAGCAATAGCCCTAGCTTCACCGCCTCCATCTAGTGCACGATAAAATCTTTCAGTTACAGCAGTTAGCAAGTCGGCCGTAGAGCGAGAGGATCGAAAACCGTATTGATTGTCTGACAGTAGCTGGATGCAGTTAACATCTGCCCAAGATGAGTATTTTTATCGAGACACCATCTCTAGCCTTTACTCAACCAAGAGCCCCAAGGCAGGGGATGTTTAGCTGGATGCAGTTAACATCTGCCCAAGCTGAGTGTTTTTATCGAGACACCATCTCTAGCCTTTACTCAACCAAGAGCCCCAAGGCAGGGGAATTTTTAGTCAGAGTTTATTTTTCCTAGCCTTTGCCTAAGAAGAGCTCACTCTGCAAGGCAGCAGGGCTTGTGGTAGGTGGTACTGGGTTACGTGATACCAGTAGCAAGATTGATCTTGATTATCCTGACCTGACCTGGAGTATTTAAAAGGAGTTACTTCCCGCAACAGTACTTTGAGAATACCAGGCATGACATTTTGGAAGTGCATTAGGAAAAACACTGCATCTAACAAAATACAGGAGTCTAAGGTGAGTGTACGTTTTGTAGTTGGAGTAAGTAGTTAGTTACTGAGCTCACGCTGAATCAGAGTATAAATAAAACACAAACAAACATAAATCAACTTACGGGTGAGTCAACACCGCGCCAGAAGTTCAGACAGAACACAAACATACATAAAAAACATAAAGTAACTTACGGGTGAGCGAACACCGCGCCAGAGGTTCAGACAGAACACAAACATACATAAAAAAACATAAAAAACATAAACATAAACATAAAGTAACTTACGGGTGAGCGAACACCGCGCCAGAGGTTCAGACAGAACACAGTCATACATAAAGAACATAAAATAACTTACGGGTGAGCGAACACCGCGCCAGAGGTTCAGACAGAACACAAACATACATATAAAGTAGATTACAGGTGAGCAATACAGTAACTAAGGTACCTCCAACTATATGAAAAAAAAAAAAATTACTATAGGCATGACTGATATAACATAGTACTGATGACAGGAAGAACACTCCTTCCAGCATTTGCTTAGAAAGCAAATCCTGCAAGGCAGCAGAACATGGAACAGGTTGCACTGGGTTACATGTTACCAGTAGCAGGATGATCATGAAGACCATACTCCTGACCTGACTACAAATCAGATTTAGGAAAATAGTTAAACAAGGTGGAATTTTCTAATCAGTATGTTAAAACAATTTTTGGAAATAAAAAATGTTTTTGGAAAAGCTCTTGTAGATATATTCAGAACAGATTTGATTTTATTAGAAGAAGAAATAAAACACATGTTGCAGATTTAGTGTTATGTATTGGGAAAAGGAGACCGTGATTTAATAAAAACTGATAAAACTATGTTTTTACTACAAAAACTTAGAGAACCAAATACTAACATTGTTCAAAAACTGTAGTCTCTGAGAGAATTACTGAAAGAAGAAATCTATGAGTTACACTAAAAAGTTGTTAATTGAAAATAAAGTTTAAGTACTCAAAGATATTTTTTATCCTTTTTTTCTATATATTTTTGTGAAAATTTTGTAATAATATACTGATCTACAATAAAAATAAGGCTACAACATTGAGTTTTTAGAGGTCAAATAAAAAATAACACGGTTGCCATATAAAATATACTCTGTAGTTAAGAACCGTAGCCATTTTAAAAATTTAAAAATTTTTCGCATTTTCTAACGCATGCGTACCTAAACATAGCGCTTGTAAACGACCGTGGGAGGGGGTAATCAAAAATTGACGAAATTTTATAGGGGAGGTCTCTGGAAATTTGATAAATTGTTGACAAGGAGGAGAGGGGAGGTAAAAATTTAAAAAAAATTGTTGACGTAAACAATGGACAGCCCCTAACGCATGTATGTATGTGTGTATATATGTATAAATGAAACTAAAAACAGCGATACTCTACATACCTTCAACTAGAAGAACCACTGTGGTTTCAGAAAAAAGCTTTGATCAGTTTCCTTTATAAATATTCTTCGGCATTTGGGTGGTAAGAAAGCTAATTTAAAAAATAAATAAACACAATCATTACAATAAAGCAATTAATAAAAAAAATTTACATCCTATTCTTATAAAAAAAGATTACATGTAAAGGTTGTTTGTAAATAGTAACCCCATATCCTTAATGTTTTATTGTTCGAAAGTATAACATCATATCAATAGAAATTCATCAGGTTTACAAAAAGTTTAAGCCCTTTAGCTAAAATAACCAAATAATTGATAGCTTGAAACAAAATCAAAATTAAAAGCCAAGCATTACGTTGAGGTCACGCTGATACTACGCATGTAAATGAATAGTATTCAATAGAAATTTTATTTCAAAAAAAAAAGTTCTTGAAATGCTAAAAACTTAAAAGAAACTTCGAAATCAAACATCACAACAAACAAAGGGCTCAGCAGTAGGTAAACTTACTTATCTCTAGTATAAAAACTTCTGCATAGCGTTAAAAAAAAAGAGTTTGTTATGTTATCTTACACAAATCTAACTTATTTAAAAAGTTAAACCTAAAGCTGTTAAAAACTATAAATTTAACCCTGGCGGTTTTTCTAAACTATAGGACTAATAAATCTATGGTCATATTCACACAAAATCTGTACCTCCCAAAAATAAAGTTTTATAAAATTTTAATAACTTAGATACCTTTCTGAGATATTGATAATAAAATGAAATTAGCAACCACCTGATGGTAACTACATGTACATTATATCAAAACAGTTAAGACAAACAAAAGACATAAAAAATAAAATAAAAGGATAAATAAAGTTCAATAATATTCTCTCGAACTTCTTAAATTTTTTTATTTTATGATTGCAATAATTATTGTTTTACTTTATATATATATATATATATATATATATATATATATATATATATATATATATATATATATATATATATATATATATATATATATATATATATATATATATATATATATATATATATATATATATATATAAACAAAATATTTAAGATAATCTTTCATCTTTTATTTTGTACAGCTCTGATAGTTGAAAAAGATTGAAGGAGGTCTTGTCACTAAGAACCGAGAACCAATTAGATAATAAATATTTTATTTTTTTTAATTTGAAAAATTAAATATTGATTATATAATTGATTACAATATTGATTACAATATGTTATTAGTTAAAAATAAGTTCTTTTAGTTTTCATTTAAAAGAATTATTTCATTGAAATAAGTTCTAAGAAATATTAAAGTCTATATTGTTTTATTTAAATAGTCTGCAAAATGAAATAAATAACTTTCCGAAATTTCTATGAGAAAAAGGCTGTCAAACTTAATTATCAATTCTTAAAATTTATCTCTTTCTTTCTTTTTGCAAGTATCTGCTTTGTTCCATCATGGTGCCTTGTTACATACAATTAAATCCGATGTAATTATTCTCAATATAAATGTTCTGTTAAAACAATAATGCATTGCTTTCATTTATTCCTTACTTTAGCTTGAACTAAAACAGCCTCCACACTAAAATTATTATATTTGTAAACAACTTTTCATTATTTGAAAATAAAAATATGTTAATTGTTATAAGTATACTTATTATTATAAATCTTTTTTTTAAATATTGTATGTATGTAAATATTGTATTGTATTGTAAATAGTGTATTAATAATATTATAATATAATATGATTTATAACTTTTTGTTATGTTAGCATCAGAGCTTTTTAAATTCTGTGGGACAACAGAGAGAGTAAAATAAAAAGTTTGGCTTTACTACTGGTATTCTAAAAAATATATATTTTGGCGCTAAGTTTATTTCGGTAGGTGGTATATAAATATCCACAACGCCAAACCTTTTTAGGACTTTCCCTACCTTTATTTGACAATTTCATGGTAGCATAACTATCCTAAAATAAATTTAGGAAAACAAAATATTAAAAAGTTATTAAAAATCCTAACCAAATTCGAATCAATAGAGACATTCCAGACAAATAAAATATTCAAGATTGCAGACAAATAAATTTTATATTTACATTAAGTGTCTTAAAATAATAATAATAAAAAGTCTTTTCAATTCAAATAAAGTTTTATTTCTTATTTTCTTAGTTTAAGTTCATTAAAACTAAAACTCTTTTTATTAGCTTTATTAATCATAAAAGTCCCTTATTTTATTATTACTATTATTGCTTATGCTATTATTATTATTATTGCTATTATTATTATTATTATTATTGTTTTATCTATTATTATTTATTTTTTTTAATAAAATTTTACCATTTTTTTCTTTATGAAAAAAAAAAAAAATGTAATAAATGATATATACAGAAAAAAATGTATAAATTAAACAATTTTTTTTTCTTCTTTATAATTTTTAGCATTTATACTTTATAATTAGTAGTTCTGGGCAACCTCACAATTTAAGTGGGTAATTTAATTAAGTTCACCAATCAAAAAAAAAAAAAAAAGTTTAAAATTTTGTTTTAGAGTTTTACTTTTAAACTATAAAGTTAAAAAGATATAATGTTTCAATATTTGGTGAACATGAAGAGCAGCAAAGCTGATTGAAAATTTTTAGATTTAAAAGATTTTCATAAAACAAAGCTTTAAGGCGGTAACTCTTCTTTTGGAAAATACATTTTGCATTTTTTTACTGTAAATTAAATCAATGCGCTTTATGATAATAAATTAACAGGATAAATTTCAATATTATATTTTTAAAAAGATTTTACAGTATATAAATTTTTAAAAGTTGTATTTTCGCTTAGCTAGATTTTTTTAAATCGTAATTATAGCCTCTTTTATAAGGTAGTTTGTCGTTCGTTATTTGGAAAAACTTAGTAAAAGTTAACGTTAAACCATACCATGTTTCATATATAGAATATTATAAATAAAAAAAATAAATGAACGCATAAACAAGAAGGAAAAAATACACACGGCATTTTATAATACTACAGTTCACATTTAATGTTTTGTGTTTTTCTTTATTGATATTCGATAGAAAACGCAAGACATTTTCTATCGAATATTAGGCATCATTATAACTCACGGCATGTTTTATGAAGATGTTGGTCTTTAAATGGGGGGCATAAACTCAGACCTTTAAATATAGTATCAAACAACAATAGTATTTTTATCTTATTTGCATCCATGTTTATATATAAGAAAAGCATAAAGTTTAAGTTGTTCTCTATCTTACTGATTATCAGTAAAAGTTACCGATTCTCCCTAAAAATGACCGATTCTCGCTAAAAATGACCGATTTTCGCTAAAAGTTACCGATTCTCGCTAAAAATTACCGATTCTCGGTAAAAATTACCGAATCTTCGTAAAAGTGATTTGAATCTCTATCTTATTGAAACAATTTTTAAAAAGCAAGTTTATTTGAATCATGTTGGAATTCAACGGGATATAGTTTGTACAACTATTAGTTTGGTTGAATCAGCATTTTTTTTTTTTTTTTTTTTTGGGCTTTATCTTCTTAACCAACGCTCATTTTTACTAAAGTTTTTTAATCAGAGAATGTTCTGAAATACTTAGCTCGTAAACCAAACAGCATCTGATATATCATACAATTAAATTTTAGATATGTATTTGTCGCTTGGAGTATACGAACTATATAAAAATAATATTTAAGGAAAAAATCTAAAAAATTCTCAAATATAATTTTTTCAAGAACACTTTCTACTTTTGTTAAAAGCAGGATGCATTTTTATGGAATTGCACGTAGAAAAAAAAAAGAAAAAGAAACAAATAGTGAAGAAAAATAAATGTTGCACACTTACACGAAATCTTTGAAAACAAAAAAAAAAAAAAATGCAAGTCATAATTTTTCGCAAAATGAAAAAACCAATGTTAAACGTTCATAGCGAAAATTCACTTCATAAAGGTTAACAGTTTAAATAAAAGATTTTTGAGAAAACCAACTAATTTCTTTTCATAGCGTTTTTTTTAAAATATCAATGTAGCCATTTAACTTTTTGTGGCAAATTATTAAGAAGTAAACAAGCAAAACGAAAAAATCATCTGCGAAAATTAATTAAATTACTGATTTCAATGGCTAGCCAAGGGTAAACAAAATGGATATAATAAAAGTGCGGATCAAGCAATAAAAACGTAGATAGATATCCAATAACATTATTATAGATATTTGCATTTGAAAGAACTTCTTTAGGACTTGTTAAATCATTTTATGAAAAGTTATTTTATGTATTGATTGACAACTCGACAACTTTTATTACATATTATTTTTAATATATTATTTTTTTGCCAGACGCCAGTTATTAAAACCACGTGAAGGGGGCGTGCAAAAAAAAACTAGAAATAAATAATAACGATATTAAAATATAAATTTAAAAAAAAATTAAAATTATGTTGTTATTTTCAAAAATTTTATGTAAAGCTATAAACTATAGTTTACCTATTTGATTAAAAATTTACAAATGATGTTTTTTTATTTAAATAAACAAATTATTAGTTAGCTTTTTTTGTTTTTGTACTGGACTTCTCAAACCTTAATTCGTTTTACTGACTACCAGAATGATTAGGTTGTAGTTACTATAGTCACTATTTATATATTATTTATTTTTTCGTTTATTTTCTTAATAATTCACAAAACATTGTTTCTACATAAAAACGATTTAATCGAGTTTTAGTTCGTCAACAACAGTACGCGCTTTCAAAAACGTCAATAATACTTAGGAATTCGACTATATACTTTTTACATAGATACAATATGTTTATTTTTATTTATTTATTCAAAACACGTATTTATCTTTGGATTAAGTTAAATCTCATTGAATATATATTTTTTTTTATTGTTTGATAGCGTTTGGGTCTTTAAACTACATAGACTTGACTGTTTGAGTTTTAAATTTGAGTTTATAACTTTAAAAGAAATTATTTTTAATGAACTTTTTTTTAAATTAATTTTTCATTTACTTTTTAATTTAATCAATAAATAAACAAAAATAGATAAACACTAAAATTCAAAAAATAAAAAATAAAAATAAATGATAAAAAAATAAAAAATAAAACAATTCAGTTCAATTTACAAAAATAATCATTATTCATTTATACTTTTTAATCGTTAGATTGTTCATAACAATATTAAAAATATTAAATATAATGGCAGGTGATCGATTGATTGAATGATCGACCATTGATTAAGCTATTTATTCCAATTTTTATAAACAAAAACAGCTTGATTGCATACTAATACTTTAGAAAATAGGTCACTAATGGAGATCTCTAACATTTTTTTTAGTAAATGAATGGAATTTTTGACACTGTCAGTCTTACAATTTTGATGCAAGGCATCAAATGCGACTATGAACAAGTTATGATTAAATTTAACGCTAATTGCATATCTTTATTTTGCAAGAATGGTTATTCTGGCCATAATAAATGTTGACATTTTTTTTTTGTCCATTTTAGTTTTTAACTACATATTTTATATAAGTATTTTATAAAAAATACAAGTATTAAAAAATAACTAGATTTAAAATTCTGTTAAAAGAATTACAAAATCAGAAAATAGAAACAACAAAACGTTAAAAGTTCACTTAATAAAAAGGTATGTATTCGAAGTATTAAATTTTACTCAAAAAAGTATAAAAAAAATAAAATATACATTTATATATGAAAATACCTAAAATATACAAGTTTTACAAATTAGATGATAATATAATTTCAAGTGCATGTGCGCTCGCGTTTTTTAACAAGTTCACTCATTCAAAGATAAAAAAAAACAAAAACAGAAGGTTGAAAAACTATAAGTAATATGAGTTTTGAACATGGAGGTGCGAAGAAAAAACTATTTGAATAAAACCTTTTTGAGCTTCAAAGAACAGTTATAGTAAAAAGGATGCATCTTAGGTGAATAAAAGTTGCGCAATATTGAGTTTTAGTTGATGGAACATATGATGAAAGTTTGCATGACGAGCAAACATTTATATTTGTTGAAAAGAGAAAATCATGCAACCTTACGGCGGTGGGATATTAGCTCAAACCCGGCCACCTTTGAGATAAGATTATCAAGAAAGTTATTCTGTTTCCTTCATATTCTCCTTGATTCATACTTTCAGCATGAATCAAGGAGAATATGAAGGAAACAGAACTTTCAGTTAGTAGTTCTCAAAAAAATCATTTAATGATGTGAGCATTAAAGTCATCAATAACAATATTCACGATTCTGCCTAAAAGTAGAAACAATATATCCTACCTTAAGGTAAAATACTACATTATCTGCATTTTGCAATCGTTTTAAAAGACCAGCTTTATTTCTGAGCTAGCTGTCAAACTGCAAGAAACGTAAAACGGGCGAGTTTACAGTGTTTTTACATACCAAAACACTACGTCAGCTAACTTAAATCTTATATTGAAATATATTGACTTTGCTTTATATTGGTTTACGTTGTTAGTGCAAACTACACTTACTACCTGAGACTAAAGTAAAAAAATAGTGAACATTCACAATTTGGCAACATAATTTGTCTTTAATTTGATATAGATGAAAAAGTTAAAGATACATCAGTAAAGTTATATACTACAACATCCAAAGACAAGCAGTATCTTAGTAATAACTCACCGTGTTGTTACAGACATGCCTTCCATTTATTTTTTAATTTTCTAAAATCTTCGTTAGCGGAGCTCCTACTCATCCAGCAAACAATAATGTCTCACTTTCTAAGAAGAATGTTTAAATTCTAAGTTTAAGAAACAGATTACTTTACACATTATTACATAAAACGTTAGCGAGCATGAGCAAAAAAGAAATAAACTTGTTACAGCTACAAAATCTTTACAGATTTTATTACCCATGTAAAAATAAACTACTATATAATTCAAGTATATTTAGTATAAAACCAGTACATAGTAAAAAAGACGTCTTTTAAACGTCTTACACACGTTTCGGACGTCTTTTGAACGTTTTGGACGTCTTTTGAACCTTCAAAAGACGTCTTTTTTTGGCCCACTGGGTATATATAGTATAAAATCAAGATTAGTAAATGGTTATAAAAATTGATCATTCACTGAACTTGGTAATTGAAAAGTTTTTTTAACACTTAACAGATTGACAGGTAAAAAATATAATTTTTAAGATACATTAAAAACCTCATAATTAAGTGTCAATTAAATTACACATTTTGGACATAATATAATTGAGACACAACTTGACTTTTTTTATTAAAATTATTTGTAAAAAATTTGTAAAACAATTTTGCAAATTTTATTTTTTTATTGTTACTTTGATAAGGTCTTCTCAAAAGAATTAGATCATCATAAATTAGCAATTGAAGTAAACTTAGAAAATTGATTTGAAATTCTTACTTTGTTAGACCTCTAAATACTAGTCTTTTTTTGGAACCAGAAATAATGGTTGACCTTTTCAGTTAGTTTTGTTACAATTGAACTGTTACTAATATTTAAAATTAAAAACGGTAATATTTCCTGTCTTATAAAAACGCTCAATAACGCTCATACAATTACCTTTTTTAATTACACAAACCGGTTTGTATTGTTTATTTACAATCCTTTAAATTAGATTGAATGGCATTCTTTGTAAGTTTTTTAAAAACAAAATACTTTTTTTGAACATCTATACTTAGAATCACAATAAACGACTAATTAGGGATAAACATAAATAAATGTATACTGACCAAGGGCGCCAAGAGGTTTCACGCTCTTGGCGTCAAACCAGATGCCACCCGGAACAGCTTCTGATTGGCGCCATTAATGATATTTCTGCATTGTAAAGGCCTAAATATATAGAATTTTTATTTTTGTTTTAGAATAGCTTCTGTATAATCCACTTAAAATGTGGCATAAAATTAAAAAGTAATTTATCTCTTGATGACTGTCTGTGCATTTTAATTGTAATTTTACAACTTATGTTCAGGTTTTATCTTGATGGCTGAAATTCTCTATCACATCTCTCAGCATGCAATCAAAGATAGGACAAGAATACATTTAGCTGATTTAACTACTTTGACTTGATAGATTTTTTTGCCATAGACATAGTTATCATCCTCATTGAATATCCTCAGTGTGATTATTCTCATAATTATACTATGATTGATTACTTTTGTTTATTTCTGCCAATAAATAAAGTGTTTAGTATAACACTAATAAATTGCACCAAAAAAAAAAATATATAAGCCTATATCACTGAAATTTGGACGATTTTAGTTTAAGTTTTATGAAAGACAACTTAACCGATCGTAATGATTTTCTTTTCATAATGAAGCTTACATAATTAACTTTTATTTCAATAAAAACAAATATAGCTTTTTTACAACGTGTAAGTAATTTAATTTTTTGTAAAGTACCCTCCAGTATCTCCAGAATTTTATTTTGCGCTGCTTTTTTTGTTGCATTAATCCATAAATCATGGAAATTTTTGACACTATTTTCACATTTGCCTCTTTTCCTCAATACTCCCTTCACAATTGCCCAGTAAGATTTGATAACTCGGTGCTCAGAACAGTTTATTGGATTAGCATCCTTTGGAATAAAATTGTCTCTTTTTTTCTGATACCTCTGAATTACTTTTTTGGAATAGTGGATTGATGTCAGATCTGGCCAAAATAAGGTTGATTATTTGTGCTTTTTAATTAGAGGAAGAAGTCGTTTTTTCAAGCATTCCCTAACGCATAGATCTGATGTCAAAGATTGATTTGTTATGAAAGAAGAGCTTTTAAAACCTCAACTGCAAATTGCCTGCGATACAAGGAACTCGAAAGTGTTTTTTTCACTCAAATAAACTTAAATTAGTCAGTAGCTTTATAATGTTTTGGCTGATATTGATTACCTGGAAGCATTGAGTGATCCTTTTTACAGTAAATTTCATCGTCTTCTAAAATGCATTAAATTTTTTTAGTAATTAATTTAAGCAAATTTTTAGCTCATCAAATTGCTTTGATTTCTCCATCAAGCGACTTTTCTGTTATTTTTTTCTTGTAAAGTTTTTTCAGATTTTTTTTTGAACACTCTTTGAACAAAAGCTTTATTGCATTTAAACTTTTGTAGCTAAATCTTGCAGCGACTGAGTCGGATTTTGATGAACTGTGTCGACCATTCATTTTGCCTTCTTATTGGAAATAAATCTTGATTTTTTACTACTTCCCGATTTAATTTTACTGTTTTGTTTTTCTAATAGCATTTTATAATAATTCCTACAGTTGATTTTGGAACTTTACATGCTTTTGAAATCATGGAATATGAGAACGATTTTGTATGTAGAATTTCATATTTTTTTTCGATTTTCTGACTCTTTACTCAATATTGCAAAAAATAATAAGGAGTAAACAAAACTATACTCACACACAAGAAAACTAATTATGTAAGAATCATTAAAAAATTATAACAATCAATTAAGTGGTTTTTGAGAAAACTCGATTTAAAATCGTTCAAACTTCAATTGATCATGGTGATATATATTTTTACTAAATTACTTTTCTCAAATCAGTATGTCGGTTAAAAGCTTCGATAAACAGCCTGAATCTTGAAGCATTTTTTTTTAACTTTTTTATGCATATCTGGAAGCTAATACTCAACTTTAGGCTTTCGTTATATCAAGCGCCGATGGATTCCACTCAACCAAGACTAAAATAAATGAGAATCATAACTTGTGTTTTAAACAGGAATAGTAAAACTTGGTGTATATTTAGTTTATAGATATTTAAGGCCTTCCCAAAATTTTCCTTTTCCTTTCAAAAGTTCCCTTGAAAAAAGTTTGCAAAGATAAGTTCTTTAATTCTTTAATCTTTAATCTCGCAATCCTCCGGACACGTTTTTGTTTATTATAAAGTTTTTTTAGTCTTTCATACCCATTACTACTCTGAATAATATTATAGGAACATAGAGGTGCATCAAGGTAAAAAAGGCTTGAGCGGGATTGCTGGATATAAAACCTATAAAAACTCAGAGGTGCAACTGAGAAGATGCTTCAGGCGGCAGTCTAGTTTTTTATGTCTTAGACTAGCCCTGGCTGTAAGAAAAACTATGAATAAACAAAAGGTAAATACTTTTCAAAGGTGTAATATCAAGAAATGAAACAGTTCTTTATAAAATGGAAACATTTTTTGAGGTATTACTTTCAATATATCTTATACTGCTGTGTTAGGTGAGCATGATTATGTCATATTCACCTAACGTCAAATAGCCTGCTCCTGGGGGCTTCAGTACACACATCAACTGACAAATAGCCTGACTCGCAGTGGAGTGCTGCTACATTGACTGAGGGTTTGGTATGGGTCAGCAACCTTTTCATTCATTATTCTTAGTTTTCCCTCATCGTTTTCTAAAAACGCTCACTTAATTTAGGCAAGCAAAAAAAGTGAGCAATTGCGCATATAAATATGCTATAGTAGATATATATATATATATATATATATATATATATATATATATATATATATCTAAAATTTGATTCCCATTTTAATAACCATTTTATTGACATGAGATGGAAATTTTAGCTAAGTATAAATATTTTATATAAAAGTAAAATTAAATGATTTTTTCTACTCTCGATTGAACATATTTTACATTTGATTCTAAATAGATTTTTCTGTTTTGATATTCCAGTTTTACTCAATTTTAGAAAAGATTCAAACTTTGTTACTTAACGGAATTTTATCTGCTATTTTTTGGTCCATCTTTGAGAAAAAATACTTTGGGTTTTTTATCTATTTTTTTTAAATATAAACTATTCCCCCATCCATTAAATTTTTGATGCTAATTATGTTTTTTACGAAACTGAGCTAAAAATAGTTTACTGGCATTATTTACCTTGTTAGCATGTAAAAAACAAAATTCCTATCAACATTTACTATTAAAAGACTTTGAAAAAACAATAATGAGTAGTCATTGGCATGTCGCTTGAAGATTTTGATGGAAAATTATTTAGAGTTATGTTATCAGTTATTAAAAAAATCGGAAAGCTGACAGCTAATTTTGCTAAACCTGACAGCTAATCTTAAACCTGACAACTAATTTTGCTAACTTTGTGAAGAAAGTATAAAAAAGAGTATAATAAAATGTCAAAGCTGGCGCCTTGTCTTTGTTTTTAAATTACACCCGTACAGTTAACAAACTGTGCGGGTGTTATTTAAAAATAAAGACATAATACTTGTAACTTTTGCCAAGAATAATGATTTTATGTATTCTGTTTTATATTACTAATATAGTTTGCAGTAATACCCATCACTTTCCTACCAAAATTCTAGCAACCACATTAGTAAATTACACATTTAATATAAAAATTATATTTTAATTGGTGATAAATTTTTGAATATTTCAAATTTCTTTAGAACAGCTCATCCATAAGCTATAGAAAACAAATTGTTTCTAATCTTAATATTTTCTCTGTTTTAGACTTTATTCTTAGAGGTTGCAATATCGGCAACCATAATCTACACGTTCATATTGCTTAAATAAGCGATAAGAATCATAGAGTCGCGAGAACCACTTTACGATACTTTTCCTTCAAATATAACTCTATTTTTCAAATTAAAACTTAAGTTAAATATATAAAGATGTCATAATGAGAGCAATAAAAGTAACCGGTGGAATCCCAAGAAAACAAGTTCTTTATCTCTACCGGACCGTTTTGTAAAAATCTGTAAAATTACACTATTTACAAAAATTTTAGTAAAATAATGTTAAAACAAAGCATAAACGAAAATTAATATAAATGAGATGAAAAAATAAGTAATAAAAATCAGAAGTAAATCTATACGATGATGTTCATCAAACTTTTTACTGGTGCATAAAAAATGTCAGATTTATAGACAACTTTTTGACGCACTATCAAAGATATATCTGTTATTTATGCATTCTGAAATTGTCTAGTGCAAAAACAAAAAAACAAAAAACAATCTTTTTTATTAAAAAAAATAAATAAGTTCATTTTAGACATAAGACAGATTTGTTTGTGGGAATTATTCAAAGCCCGTTGTAAACAGCTCATAACCAAATGGTATTAAACCAAAATATTTTTAATGTGATTGCTAAAAGTAGTTGCTATCTTCAACGATTTTTCTATTAACGTTATGGTATCATTTACACGTGAAATGTTTTCCTTGAGACAAGAGCTAGCATACTTAACTTCGTTTTTACTAATTCTGATCTGAAAACCATTTTGACTATTCAAATTTTTTTGCTGCTCAATTATTTGGTCACGAAAGTCATTAAGAGATAATTGCTGGTTCGGAAATTCTAATATAATACGCTGCATATATCTGGAAACCTAAATTCGAATTATTCAAGTATAATATACATCATTATTTTTTTTGTGAATAACTTTATTATTTTGTTAAATTTCAGAAGATACAAAAGCATAAAATAGTTTCGGTCCATACATTTTATTATAACTTTGTAAATAATTCAGTTTTATCACAAATAAATGTTTCTAGTGTAAAGGTAATATAGAATACCTATAGGAATTTAGAATACCTATAGGAATATAGAATTCCTATAGGAATTTGGAAAATTACCTCATTGTTGTAAATATCAATAATTCTTTTTAATGCACTTGGTATACCAACAGGGTTCAAAGTAACTTGAATTTTCATGCAACTATCTTCTTCTACAATCTGAGATAACAACAACTAATAAAGTTAAAATTACAATCGAAAAAATACTAGGAGAAAAAAAAAGAATTAAACCAGAAATATACAAACTGTAACTATGAGATTACCATAAAAGTAAATTAAAGCCATGGTTGAATCCAGGAATCTTTGACATTCAAGTTAAATGTGCGTGTTATGTAATACATAACACGCACATTTAACTTGAATGTCTAAAGTTCCTGGATTCAACCATGGCTTTAATTTATTTTTATGGTAATCTCATAGTTACAAATTTGATTGGTATTTTGATTTGTAGTTTGATTGGTAATTTGATTGGAAGTTTATTGGGTTTCTCGCAAGTTTTGATATATTTTTATATAAATAAATCTTTTGGCAACCCACCACTACCACTATACATATTATGTATAATGGTAGTGGTGGGTTTTCAAAAAATTTATTTAAATAAAAATATGTCAAAACTTGCGTGAAACCCAAAAAACTACCAATCAAATTTGGTTAAAAACAAGGAAAGAGAGAGAAATTATTATCAAAATCAGAAAATAACAGACAAATACAGATTAAAACGAGAAAATACAAAATAAAGTGTAATGAAACTAGAAAAAAGTTGAAATAGATGTGTTTAATTAAAATAGTACATTACTTTTAAACTATCTTTCTCATCGTTTATGATTGAATCATTTAAATTACTTATACATTGCTCTATTGTGCATGTATTTGAATCTGTAACTCCGGCAACACAACACGATTTTTTAAAGTTTTTCACAGCTATAAGAAAGGATACCACAATGGTTTCAACTTCATGCACTTTAAGTTCACAACTGCGGAGAATATTGTCAACCTAAATATAAAAGTATTTTGAGCTAGATTACTATGTTTTTTTTTATTTTTATAATTTAAATGTTTATTATTAAAGTGTTTTTTTATTTGCTAACATTGTTTTACTAATTTAAACTCTATTGATTTATTTCTTGTTCTAAACAGGTTAAATACTATTTTTTTTAATGTCGTAATATTTCGTATGGCTTTATTATGTTTTATTTAAATGATGCATTTTTATTTTCGAGATGTATTTGTAAAACGTTTGCTTTTAGGTTTTGTAAATTAAGGTAAAATCAAATAGTTGAACAATTTTCTAAAGCAAAAATTTCGTTAATAGTCAATAAAAAAAGAATTAATATATTTGACAGTTTAAGGAAATACAATAGCTCAAAAAGATATTAAATTTATATAAACATTATTAAAGATACATAAATTATTAAAAAATATCAAAAGAGTATGAACCTAGGTTTTAATAGAAATATGGATACATATTGAATGGTGGAGATATGTTTTTAAGTATTTTTATAAAGTATGCAACAGTAATTTGTTTTGCTATTGATATGACTACAACCACTGTGGGACTCAAACTTTCACTAAAATTAAAACTTTATTATATATTTTGAACAGTACAAATATACTTGACAATATAATCATTCTATGTGCATAAAGTAACAGAGTTTATGGTGGAAGGGGAGACTTGTGTATCTAGCGCTACCTACTTTATTTAAAAAATAAATAGTTCTAAAATTTGTTACTCAATCAGGCAATGGGTGACACTAAACAACACTTGGTCAACCATTTTGAATTCTAAGAGGAGCTAGCTGTGACTACTTAAAACAAAATTCTTTTGTAACCTTTAACATACTTTTTAAAATTTTATAAAAACTCTAAAAACTTTATGAAATCTTTATAAAAATTGCTATAAAAAGCCTTTTTTTATATATAATTTTATATATATATATATTTTATAGAAATTGAATATTAACTCTCAAACAACATATTTGCAACAACTGCAAAATACTATTAATACAAACTAATAGAATTTATATTTAAAAATATTTATACATCACAATGGAACATACTGCAGACATCTATCCCAAATATACCACAAAACAGAATTGGTCAGAAATTGTGTAGACGATGCACGATTTTATTGATACTTTCAATTCAGTACTTGATTAATTAAAAATTGGTTTTTGATAAAGAATATTGTAAATATGTTTGTTTATTAACATCAGCTGGTTGAATTGAACCTGTCATTTCGAAAAGAACACAATCCAATTTATTAAAACTTTTCAAAATCAACAAAAATATGCTTTTTATTAACATAATGTCTATGCTGCTAGAGGAATTAAACATAGGAGTATATAAATAAAGAACGTATATTTATGTTTTATTTTTTATAAAAATAACATTAATCATACAGAAACTATTATTTAAATTTATATACTAAGTGTTAAAAGTTTTGGACTTGTGTCCTTTTTGAAATGACAGGTTCAATTTATGAATCAGCTACTCTAGGTGTTACTTTAGTTAGTATTAAATAGTAAGAAGTTGTGCTGTGCTTATGGTTATTAAAGACAGTTTAACATATTGACCAGAAATTGAAAAACAAAATTTTTTTTTTTCTTCTATGGGAAAAGAGGGCATACCTCTTTAGATAAAAGTACCTAATAATAAATAAACCACCATTTTTGAATAAATATTGTATTTTTATTGTATAATATAAATCACAGTACAGTAAAACAAACTCGCATCACAACTTTTTTTTGATAATAATCAAGAAATTTTTTTTTTTTCTGCTGAATTAACTATGTTTTAATTTTTTATACATTTTTCAAGAGCATAAGTTGTATTTGTTTCCAAAATACACACACACACACACACACACACACACACACACACACACACACACACACACACACACACACACACTCATACATATACATACATACATACATACATACATACATACATACATACATATATACGTACATACATACATACATATGGTTGTGGTTACAACCCTCTCTCAAATCCGTAACTGCAAAACACGAACCTTGATGAACAAGACTGCTGCGTGGAGAAACAAATTGAGCATGATACCAGGGATGTGGTGGGAACTCGGAACTTCTTGCTTATGAGGCAAGCGCTCTACTACTACACCACTACCACATATTATTATTATTATAATTATTACCACTACCACATAAATATATTTACAACATATTATTAACTTTTTTAAAATGTAATTTAAAAAAAGTGAAATTAATTTAATTTATATCAAAACAACTTATTGAAGTTGATTCAGCAAAAAAAAAAAGTCCTTATTCATAATCAAAAAAAATTTATCGAAGATCTTACACTGCACTGTGATTTATATTATACAATAACAATACAATATTTGTACAAAAAAGGTGATTCATGTTGAAAAATATTTAGAAAAATGTAGCACGCAACTATAAAAAGCTTAAAACAAAAACCTTTGGTGGTAAATAATTCAAATAAAAATTACCTTCATATAGAAACTGTTCTTGCTACTTAAAATACTATTTATGATTAAGTTTGTTGATTCACTAAGTTATGGACTAAGCAACAAAGGTCTTTACCTATTATTAAAATAAGTTATTCGAAGGTTTTAACATTTATGCAACAAAACTAGACAATTGATAGAGATCTTAAGTTATTCTTCTAAAAACTTATACCCTTTGCCTTGCCAATTAAATGATATTGGTAATATACAACTGCAAAAATAAAAACCTTTGTTATTATTTTTTATCATTTTTGTAAACATTGTATGTGGGTATAAATAAAAGATTAATTTAAATATTGTAAACAGGACTGTAGGTTTAGGTCTGTTAACTATCTAGTTATCTTTAAATGATTAATACTTATCTATACTAACATTATTATTATATAGATAGGTTATTGGGTCAGGTACAATCAATTAAATTTTCTTATTTTAATACTTATCCTGAAAATCTTTAAAACTTACATGTAATAAATATCAAATGTTCATATTAATTAATAACGAAAAGTTATTTCAAGAGAACCTACAAAACAACTATAACTATATTATTTATTACTATATATTAAATGTAACTATATTATTACAACTTTTTATTATCATTTACCTCACTAATATTGCAAATCTTTAGTTTTTCCAAGGTATGATCATCCACACTTCCTAATCTTTGAACAAACTTATTCTGTAAGCTTGGATCACTGAAAATAACATTTAAACTTGAAGATTTGGTGTGGAACCATTTTACTCTTTTTGGGTTTTCTTGCTGTAACAAATATCGTATCAGTGAGCGAACAGCTGAATGAACTCCCCCATCACTTTCACGTGCTGATACAGCAACGCTTAAATTAAAGCACACATATACTTAGTAACTATCAATTCCCATAAAAAAACAACGTGAGCAGCATATGTAGTCTTATATTGAAGTATTGATAATAATAACCAAAGGTCATTTTCAAATGAAATAACAATACTCATTTTTAAACTAATGACAAAAACTCATTTTCAATTTACAAACTAAGATTTTAAATATTACTGTGATGTAAAAAGTTCTGTAAAAAATCTAAAGTTTTGTCATTATTTTTTAACTTATATGTGGCAAACAAAATTAAAAAAGCTACAAACCATAAAAAATAACTTTATAAATAATATATAATTGAAATGTTACCAATTTTGGACTACACATTTGTGGCAATGACATCTAAAACAGATTAAGTCTAAAGTTTTGAGTGACAATGACTAGAGAAAACCAAAAAACAATGACACAAATGTACATAACCTGATCTAAATTTTTTTAAATCAGGTTTTGTACATTTTTATTTTTTTTATTTTTTTTATTTCATTGTTAGTAAAGAGAGCTGGGCTTACATTAAAAAAAATATCCATTCCACAATTTAGTATTGTACTTTAAAAACAATAGAGAACCACCAACAACTAGAGTTCAATGTACTGTTATAATGTAAGTCCCAAATTTTGTATTTAAATTTACTCAAACATAACTTTTCTAAATTAAATTTCCACATTCAGAAAGAACACCAATATTGGGTTCTCAAAAAAATATCTATTCCACACTGTTCTTTTACAAATGATCTTATATTTGGATGCATCCGTCTACAACAACTTTTTGAAGGGTTCAACACTCCTATTTCACTATAGCCATTTTTTGAATAAAATAATAGACTTGTGTCTTCTACTACAAGGTTTGTTGTTATTAGAAATTTAATTAGAAAAAAATCTATTTATATTGCTTAATTGCATTGTGTACAGTAGATTTTGCTAGTTTTAGTTTTGAGGTAATCACAACAACTAAAAACGCAAATACACAATTGTCAGTACATAGCTAAAAATGCAAAAATGCAACTGTCTATCTTGGGTTTATAATAGGCATTATAATAGGATTTAATGCAATTCTCTATCTTTGCATTTTTTCATAGCTACTTGCTCTTTTCTTGCAATAAAGATTTGCTTTTCATTTCATTATGTCTGTAACAGTTACATAGAATTTAACTAGTTAACATATACATTAAGGTTAAATAAATGTAATTACTAACCTTAATGTTTTCAATAAATATGTACAATAAATGTAAACAATAAAAGAGAAGGACTTACAATATCAATTATAGATGAGTATTTGACTTTATAAAAATACCGGAAATTTTTTTTAATGAAAATCCCGGAAAATTATTTTATTAAAAATTGATCTTATAAACTGAAAACAAAAACTTTCGTAAACTTTTAAAACAGAATTTAGGTTATTTAACTTTTTACAAAAAGGAATATCTAATACTCGAAAAAGTTAATTTGAATAAATTAAAAAGCAAAAAAAAAAGAAAAAATTTGTTACGAAAATTGATCTCGTGAAAATTTCAACTATAGAAAACATATTTGTTTAAATTTTTTGTAAAAATATATAACTTTTTTAAAACAAATTAATTTAAAAAAACATCCAGAAATTCTGGAAAAATAAAGTGAATTTCCGGAAATCCGGGAATTCCCAGAAAAAAACTCATCTATGATCAATAAGGTTACTAGCTCACTTAATGTTCATTTACTTAATGAATGTGCTTTAAAAAAAATTCAAAAGAAAGGTAGCTTTTTAAGATTATCTAACCATGTCACACAAGAGGTTGAGAGTCTTTGTAATCAATGCTGAGAGAACAGGGAAAAGAAGTCCACATCCTCATGCCATATATGGTCTTTGCTAACCATTATGCTCAACCCACAGCCTTAGGCTTTTGAAAGACAATGCTTTAGTGGCCATGTCATGTCCCTTCAAGAAAGATACCAACCAACTTAAAGAGCTCTTGATAGTAATTATGCAAACGATTTGATGTGAATGAAATAAATGCAGCTGATTTTGGCAAAAATTGAGGATATCAGTAGCCCACAACCTTTTTGGATAGCCTTTTCTGCTGTTCGATAGTTTGTTATGATCATAGAGGCCCAGAATTCATTGAATTGTATATTATCATTAGCTTACTACCATGTTAAATAAGTATAAGTATCAGGCCTCAGGTTGGCGTTTGGCACTGCCAACTTAACTGCTGACCTAAAAGTGTTTTAGGTTGGCAAAAAATTGTCAACCTTATTTCTATGTTTTAAAGTAAATTTTTTTTTGCCAATCTCTAACAGTTTAAGGTTGGCAATTTATTGCCAATCTCATTTTTCTTAATTCTAAGGGCTGAAGTATTGTGTTACACTGAGTGTTACTAGTTTACTACATTTTTATACAAGGTTTCCAATCATCTTGATTGGTATTTCAAATCACAATTTTGTCACTATCTTTTAGAGCACTTAGTGAATTATTTGCTTTTTGATCATCCATCCAGCTCTTTTGATCAACTTGATTGTGCTGGTCAAGGCATAGGTTGAATAACAGAGCTAACAGAAGAAAAAATCATTAAATGTGCTGTATGACACAGAGCAGCGTTGTGCTAAATTAAACAGTTTTAATCAGCCTCAATTTGGGATAAGCACATTTCCCAAAATGTCACACAATACTCATACTAATTCAATCTTCTATTGTAGATTTTATGGCAAGTAATGCCTATGTTTTATATGGATCCCTACATGCCAACAAAGCCACCACTTTTTAATACAGCTTTTTATATGTTGCATCAAAATTATCTCCACATTGCTGAAAATGCATAACTTTTGTTTATTCTATTAATAATTTTGAAACTAAACTTGTTGCTGAAAATAACCATAATAACCAATTTAAAATGTATCATTTTTTGTTTTAGATATCAATTAGTTTTAACAAAAAATTTCTTATGACATAAAACATATTTAAACCTTTCTTGCATAATAAACTACTTGTAAAATTCATTGTTTTGTTCAAAAGTAAATTATTAAATTCTGGATGCAAGGATGACACTTCTATTATTGGTTTGTATCTGTTTAGCAAATATAGGGTGTTTTTATTGCCAATACAAGGTTTATTATTGAGAGTAAAATTCAAAAATACTCAAGCATATGCCAATTTATTGATTGTTTTTGTTCATTTTATGATACCAATGACTTACCATTTAATTTTCAATGCAGCAGCACTAACAACCATAAAAATATAATTTTTTGACAAGTTTTTATCAACTAAAAACTGCTAAATTGAATCAAATTGTAGATGCATTCTTTATACTAAATTAATTAAAAATATAATATCTTAAAGTTAGCAGGGTTTTGTGTATTTAAAATCAAAAAATTACATGTAAAAATCTAATAATTAACAAAAACTATATTTTAAAAGTTGATATAATCTAACAGATCAATTAGTTCTCTCATCCACCTCCAGCATAATATGGTAACTACTTTTTCCGTCTCTATCTAATTCTCTATCTAAAAAATAACTATCAAATTGTACTAATAGCTACATAAATATAAAATACAGAATATATATACAGAATACATGTTAAAAAAGCAACAATTTTAAATATATATATATATATATATATATATATATATATATATATATATATATATATATATATATATATATATATATATACACAAATAGTATTGCGTACTAAGGTAAGCAATCTGACATCATACTGAAATAGCCTGCTGCTGGGGGCTTCAGTACATACATCGACTGACAAATAGCCTGACTCGCAGTGGAGTGCTGCTACATCGACTGAGGGTTTGGGATGGGGAAGCAATCGTTTTATTCATCATTCTTCATTTTTTCTTCTTCTTTTTCGAAAAAAACGATATAACTTAAGGTCAGCAAAAAAATTAAGCAAATGCTTATCAAAACACGCTTTAGTAAGTGTGTGTGTATATATATATATATATATATATATATATATATATATATATATATATATATATATGTATGTATATATATATTTGCACATGTGTGTTAGTGTGTGCTTATGTAGTGTATGTGTGTGCAAGTGTGTGATATAACTAACCAGCCAACAAATCCATGTCTTGATGAAATTTCTTCTAGTAAATGTTCTTCAGTAGAAACCTCTTTACCATTTGAAACCTATTTAAACAGGCAATAAATTAAATTCAAATAAAAAAACTACTAAAACAAAAATATTATTTACAAATTAAATCCAAAATATCTTGCACCTTATCTAATTTGTTTCCAAGAAGGAGAATAGGGACTTTCCACTGCGACTTCATACTTTTCTTACGCTCTCTGATTCCTTCCTTCTCACTGAGATAGTTGTTATTATAAATATCTTGTTTCCAAGATCCAGCCATCTCAATGCTGTCTTTGTCAGATAAATCTACAACAACTAAATAAAATCTTGTAATGTAACATTAATGAGGTATAAAATTAACACAAAGATCGTTTGTTTACAAAACTTCACTCTACTATGTACTTATTTATTTTAACAATACAAAAAAAGTTATTTTAAACCTATAGCTGCATCAACATCTTTATAGTAACATCTCCTTAAGTCAATATCTTCCCGACCTGGAATATCCCAAAGGGTAATCGATACAAGTGTTTCAAATGGAACTTCTATTTTCTTTGTTACATTTCCTATATTCACTGCCATTGTTGGCTGATAGCTGTAATCAAACTGCTCTCGAATATAACGCAAGAATACAGAAGATTTCCCTACATTAGGATCACCTTAAATTTAAAAGCATTAAAAAGTAGGTTACATATATACACGATATTAGAAGCTGGGAGTGCTAAAAAAAAAAGGGTGTGGATTTTAATAAAAAAATAAAATAAGTTAAAAACATTTCTTATATAACTGCAACTAATTTTTATAAATTCTTCCATCCAAAATAGTCACATTACAGTTTATTATAATCGGTTTATTTGATTTGAGCAATTCTTTCCATAAAAACCTTTTTAAAATTTAGATCAATATTTAATAATTATTCAAATGAAAAAGTTCACATTTTAATGGAACTAAAAGTTTTATGCCCGGTGACAATTATCAGCTGCATATTCAAATTAAGTGATTAAAAAACAGTTAAAAAAATATAGATTAAACGGTGGAATGAGTTCAATATGTTAAAATGTAACAAGCAAATGTAATTGTTTAATCTAATTCTAACCTGTGCTATATTGAGAAAGTAGTAATTTAATTTTATAGACATAATTCTGCTGTTAATTTGTGCCTGATTTTCCACACCACCAAAGAATTTTTGTAAGCATCTTTTTATTTCTATTTTTTTATTCTGAAGTATAAAAGAATAATAAATGGTTATCATACCTAATTTCAAAGAGAGTTTCACTTATGCAAATATATGATTTTTTTAATAAACTACCACCAAGGTTTTCTGAAGAGTCAGTTGTTTGATATACAATTTTGTTTTTTAAGCAACTAATAAGTACAAGAAGTAGTTTTTTATAAGGCAGTTGCAGTATTTTTGATGATGGTTGGATTTTTTTTCAGTTTAGAATGTATCTATTATGCGAATTTACTATTGATTTATGCTTGGCATATAACTGTAGCAGATTTTTGAGTGTTCTTGTTGAAAAATTTTATGTAGTTTTTTTTTAATAGAAACAATTCAATATTTCCAAACATAAAAACAATACTGAGATGTCAAAAAAAATATTGGGGCAATTAAAAGATGCTAACAAAAACTCTATGCTTGTGCAGAAAATAATCAGTCGCTGTGAAGCATATAACCTCACAGCCAAAACATCTTTTGTAAAACATTTGTCTGCATAATATTGATTGCTGTCAAAAAAACAAGAAATATTTTTATACAAAGATAAGTATATAAAACATATATGCACTAAATTTAAGCACTGAACAGATGCGCTTGAAAAAGCATAAAACTGTGTAGGCTAAAACAAAACAAAAAATTTACCATTAACTCACAAACAGCAAAATTTCTAAAAACAAAGATATAATAAAAGACAAAATGGCAGAACTTGAGAATCAAAGTGGCTGAAACAACCTAAGAATATATAGCATCAATGAAAGTGTAAGCTTTTATTGATGCTATTTTTTCTGTGTTAAACTCGAGAATAAATTAAAAAAAAAGTCCAGGAGATTTTGAGATCTAAAACTGGTTTTGAAACTGACTTTACGATCACAAGAGCGCATAGAGATAGGAAGAATCATTCTGATGTAGAACTATTGTTGATAAGTTTTTGAACTATAAAGATAAAAGCATGATCATAAAAAACTGATCATGTAAAGATAAAACTATGGAATCAGCAACTATACATAAACAAAGGCTTTAGTGAATGAACAATTAAAAAAAGAAAGAAGCTCTTTATAGAAGCAAAAGAACTACAATCAAAGGGTAAGTATGCCAAGTCATTTATAATAAACTAATTTCACAAGATTTATATATATATATATATATATATATATATATATATATATATATATATATATATATATATATATATATATATATATATATATATATATATAATGCTATTAATTTTTATAACAATAAAATGAAAGATTTTCTGCAGCATATTGTTATTTATTTTAATATAAGGAGTTTAAAAAAAAACTTTGAAAATTTTGCAATAACTTAGAGAAAACTTCAAATATTTTTAAAATGCAGTGCAGTTTTAACAACATTACATCAAACACAAATCTCCATCTTATAGGCTTTAATATGATCCTGCTTACGTGTAAAATAAATAAACAAGGCAGAGGTGTTCTTATTTACATAACCACTAATTTGCAGTATATTATTAGGCTTGAAATGAGTATTTTAAATGGCAATAAATAGGTTTTATTGATTAAAATTAAAAAAGATCAGATCATTTTCCTTTTTTTATTCAATAAACATTAATACAGATTCAATGCTACAGAAAAAACAAGTCTTTATCAAATGCTTGATTATCAATAAAAATGTTTTATTGATTAAAGAACAATTATCCTTAACTAACTGAAAGCTAATTAGAAGCAAATACACATTTTTTAAAATTTTTATGAAGCTTATGATACCAACTTTTCCAAAGTGTGAAATTTATAAAACAAACAAAAGTATAAAATCCATGCAAAACAATTAGAAATTCTAAGCAAAAATTTAAAACACAAAGACTTGTTCAATAAGTACAAAAATAATTCTAAGCAAAAATTATAAAGAAATCACAGGCTACAATAAAATAAAAGCATGTTTTTTGCCAAAAGCAATTAAATGAGCTTATTTATGATACTTAAAAAATAGCAAGTAAAATAAACAAGTTCGTTGTATTGGTTGGACTGAATTTAGTCAAAAACGTCCCTACAATGAGTAATTCAAACAAAAGTTAGAGTTGTTTGAGTCGGGAAAACATAAAGATTTGAATGAAGACAAGAGAAAGCTCAAAACATTAAGGTGTGGGGAAAAAAACTAATTGAATAAAAATTTTTAGAGCATGAAGAAAAAGATAAAGTAAATGGATGCAACTTTGCTGAATGACGACTCAAGCAAGAATTAGTTTTAGTTGATGGAACTAGAGAGGATAGCTCCTTTGAGCAGTGAGCATAATGAACCAGCCCAAACACGGTAAAAGAGTTCCATACGGGAACAAATAAGAAATTTAAAGAGGTAGAGAATTAAATTAAGATAATGACAAAGACCATAAAGAGCAGCAACCTTAGAAGATGTTAACTTTGCAATAGATTGTATATATGGTTTTACACTTTACACAAATTCACTTTTGTAAGACTTTTGTATGAAAAGAATGTTGTCCGGACTACAAGCCATAAAAAAGTTTAATTAAAAAATGATTTTAGCAACAGATGCTGGAGTGAATTGGATGTCTAACAATGGATTAACCTGTTGGACAAAAATAGAAGGAAATATATGGTTAAAAAGTCAAATAAGAGAAAAAAATCTTTGCAAATAGTTCTGCCTTATGGTTATATATAATGTTTTTAAATATATATATATATATATTTGTATAGATGCCTTATTATGAAATAAGTTCTGCCTTATGGTTGGGAAATTAAAGATGGAATGCTCAACTTACCTTTGTTAACAACACTGTTGAAGAACATTGTTGAAGAAAACTGTTAAAGTCTCTAGAGTTAAACTTCTGAGATAAGATAAGAGATTTAGTAAACTGCAATTAATAGAGCATCAGACAGCACCATTTTACATTAATATCTTGCAATAATAAAGTGCCATTTGTTTTCAAGAGAGTGATATAGCAGTTGGACAAAAAGGTGAAAACCTTGAAGTAGAATGAAAACTGACTTAAAACCAACAGGAAGTTTTTTACTCCATACTCACCTGGATCTAAGAGCTTGTGTAAGAGGCACATTTATTAGCAGAGAGAGAGAGAGAAGACATTAGCTTAAGACTGTCACAAAGAAATTCACAAAAAGAACCCCAGTCTGCTTTAGGGTAGTAGTGCGATGATAAGTCAGAAGAAGAAGTACTAGATGAAAGATTTATAGAGATCACAAAAATATTGGGAGAGGGATATTGGTCAATTTGATTAGAAATTACAACTAAAAATGTGCAGTCTTAAGAAGAAGGTAAATGATAAAGAACAAAAAGAAAGGTGATTGAGGGAAGAGGTGCTAACCGGAAGCACATAAAAAAATGGTCTAAGAATTCATACTATTTTCTCAACAAATAGGTAAACTAATGGATAAGCATAGGCCCAAATAAAATATGTAACTTTTGGAGTCTTTGTGAACCTAATAGGTAATAGCAACCAATAATGAGACGAAGAAAAAAAACAAAAAACAAAAACAAAAAAAAAAAAACAGCTGAACTCAGACTTATTTGCTCTTTATCTAACAAAGAGCAAATAAGTCTGGTGAATTTTGCAAGAGGTAAGATTCAACTGATGGAAAGTTAATTCAAAGACAACAATTATTTATAAATGATATAATGAAACAATAATTGCTAGTAATTAGTTTTTTATGTTTAATATTTTTGGTTACTTAAGGTCTGGTTTAAGTTTAAAAGAACTTGACGCATTCATCGATAGAGCATAGTACCCCAAGAAATGAGCTATGTAGTTGTCTTAGTAAACTCTGCTTCGTAAGGTTCCTTATGAGCCCTTAACATTACACACCAAAAATACTAATAAGGACACTATTCAAGCACAGTATGGTACTGTTAATACCTGAGATTTTACACCTGTTGATGGAATTAGCCTCATTGAGAGCTACCACAGAGTTCGAGAAACCTTACTACCAGATGCCCTCAGAATCATTAAACTGAGTTTCAGAACTGTACCATTGTTAGGAGATAACAGAAAGAGTTTCATAGCCACGATCAAGGGGGCACAAGCAAAAAATCTATGAGTAGACTTAAGAAGATCCAGCACTCATCATCCTAAGCAGGAAGTAATTTATAATTAGGAAAAATGAGGTCAGCAATGAATTGCGACCTTAATTTTTTTTTAATTGCCTAATTTAAACATGTTTTGATAATTAAAATGGACATCATCTGGTTTATAATTTTGATTTATAAATTGGTATAATAAACTTTTATACACAATTTCCTAATCAAAATTGTCAACCTGATGATATCAATTGTTACAAATGAAACATGTTTAATAATTAAAAAAAAAAAAAAATCATTGAAGACCATGAGGTTTAGTGCAAAAAACCCTGAAGATTTAAAATTACACTTTTTTGCTATTAATTTTTTTTTAGGTTTATGATAGTTAGGGTGTTTGTAGTAACCAAATGATTTAAATTATAAGAAGTCAATTTCCTGTGAATATATGTCCATAGATTTTTAAATAAATATTTTTCATTCGTTTATTTTTCTTTTTATACTTTTTCATTTTCACAGTAAATATTAAAGAATTTAGTTACCGTTGACCTCCTTTATATGTTTTATGGTAAGACCTTTATATTAAAGTTTTTTTGCAGTTTAAAGTTGGCAATTTATTATTTAAAAAAGAGGTCAGCAGTTTATTGCCGACTTCATTTCCTAATTCTAAGAGCTGTATTTTTATTAATGATATTAATAAGAGGAATCCATTTTTATCAACAAAACATGGTTAAAAGGTTTCAAAAGATTTTTTCTGTTAAATAATTTTTTTATAACTTTTTTCTATAAAAAAATTACAAAATTTGTGCTACTTAGAGCATTTGGTAATAATATACATACATAGATTAGTTAATCATTAAAAAATTATATAAATTTTTTAAAAAAAAATCTTTTCCTAGTCAATATTTTTAAATAGCTTAAATCAACCAATCAAAACATAGTAAATTGTAAGTACAAATTTTTTTCATATAGGAAGTTACACTTGCAGTCATTTGTTGCTACAACATTTTCTTGTTTAATTTTTTTAATTTTGTGGTATAACTAAATCAGCTATTAAAGTTTTATAAGTTTTTTCATGTGGTTTGATAAGGTGAACTATACATTAAAATAGAAATAAAAAAATTATTAACTCACCAACTAGTACAATTTTAAAAGAAGGAACATCTTTTTCTTCAAATTGGCGTTTATTTGGATCTAGTCAAAATTAAACACAAATATATATATATATATATATATATATAATATATATATATATATATATATATATATATATATATATATATATATATATATTGAAATCATTTCAAAAAATCTATGCTGATGACACTAGACTGTTACATGAAATAAGACCTGAGTTTTACTATGCTGATTGCCTGATACATAGCCTATTGAAAAAAAAAATTTAGATCAAGAGATATAAAGCTTTGGAGTAAACTATACGCAGCGTATGTTAGGCTGCATCTGGAATTTACTGTTCTGGTATGTTGTCCTTACTTAAAAAGTGACATCAAGGAAATTGAAAAATTCAGCACAAAGCAAAACAAATACTTGATAATTTAGAGATAAGACAAAATGACGAGAGGTGTCAGTGTCTCAATTTTACTACTTGGGAAACTCGCAGGCAATGTGGCAAATTGATTCAACAGTTCAAATTAGAAAACGGTTTTGAGATCATTAATTAGCATTAGCTGATTCCCAGATCACCATCCAACACCCAAATTTGTTAATTCATATAATAATGCTCATTATTATTTCGACGAATAATTTTTGGATGGCAATTAAAATAGATCTATCATTTAATTTGAATAAAATTGACAAGTTTTTCTTTCTTCAGCTGCAAATATATATAAATAGTACATCTTTTACTAATGATGAGCTGCACATTTATTAGTTCCTGCTTTAGCAGTTACAAATATTGACTTTTTAGATATTATTTGTTATAAATTTTAACTTTAATTAAGTGGAAGCAATAGGTTTTTCTCTTTTTTCTCAATTTGATATTAACTTATTTTGTCTGGTGCAACAAAGCTTTTTTTTTTAATTAAAGTTTATATTTTACAAATCACTATATGTTTTTGTATAAATTATTGGTTTCGTTTTAGTTTAATTATTTGTCATGTAATCTAAAAAGACTTATTTAAATTATATTTCTATTACTATATGTATAATAGCAAAAAAAAATCAGGTCAGGGTTAGGGTTAGAGGTTCAGGGTTTGGGTTAGGGTTTCTAAAAATTTCTAACTTTGATAAGTAAAGAACATGAGTAAAATTAATAGAAATATTTAATTTTTTATAAAAACAAAAGGCCTTTTGTCTTCAGCTGTGTATAAACGTTTTTATTTTTAGTTTTTTTTTTACAACTATATAAAAATCTTAAATGTTAAACTTTTTGTAAAGGTTAAAAAGGAAGTAATTGAGATTTATATAACAAAAGCCCTGTCCCTGTTTATGCAGGTGAGATGTACTTATCCAAGTTAAAAATTTTTCTTTTATTACCTAACTTTTTTATTTCTATTTGTTAAGTGATTATAAACAATTTATATATATATATATATATATATAAATTGTTTATAATCATTAATATAATTATGCTATATTATATATAAAATATATATATATATATATACATACATATATATATATATATATATATATATATATATATATATATATATATATATATATATATATATATATATATATATATATATATATATATATATATATATATATTCATACATATACTATAGCATATTTATATGTGTACTTGCTCACTTTTTTAGCTCATCTAAACTGATATAGGTTTTCTAAAAAACGAAGAGGGAAAACAATGAATAATAAATGAAAAGGTTGCTGACCCATCCGAAAACCCTTAGGCTATGTAGCAGCACTCCACTGAGTTTCAGACTATTTGTCAGTTGATGTATGTACTGAAGCCCTCGGCAGCAGGCTATTTAAGTATGATTTCACACTTCCCACTAAATATATAGATATACATACATACATACATACATATATATATATATATATATATATATATATATATATATATATATATATATATATATATATATATATATATATATATATATATATATATATATATATATATATATATTATATATATATATATATATATATATATATATATATATATATATATTTTTTTCAACATCTTCGCTTCCAACAAGGCTGCAAGCAACCACTAATTAGTGTTGGAAGTTACTGGAAGAGAAAAGATGAAGATTGTAGAGCAAGATAATGATTGACAGATGACTTAAAAGAATTCCAAAGAACTGATGTTCGAGGAAAAAAACTAGACGAATAAGAGTTTTTGGAGCACTTAGGAACAGTAACAGAAAAAGGATGAGACTTGATTGAATGACGAGTAACACGAGAATGAATTTTTGTAGATGGCACAAGAGACGCTAGCTCTTTAGATCATTGCCCATTATAGTATTTGTAGAAAAGAGAAAGAGAAGCAACATTACGACGATGTGACAGAGGTTAAAGGTTGGCTGCAAGAGTAGGTCCAACTATGTTTACAATGCGTTTTTGCACCTTGTTTAAAAGAGAAAGGGCATCATTAGAAGATCCACCCCAGATATGGCAACAGTATTCCATACAAGGCCGGATTTGAGATTTATAGAGATAGAGAATAGAATCTAGAGTAAGAAAGTGACGAGCTCGATAAAGAGATGCAACTTTAGCAGATGCTAATTTTGCATATAAGGTTTCCAAGAAAGATCAGAAGTAAGAGTTAATCGTGGAAGATGAAGGGTAGGAGACTCATCGAGTACATTACCATTCATAAATATAGGAAGGTCTAAATTATTGCGATAATGATTGGCTGAAAAAAATTGAGTTTTATCTGAATTAAAGTTCATCAGCCACTGTGAGCCCCATGCTGTAGCAGAAGTGAGATCCTTTTCAAGCTCAGATGCCCCCTTCAAGCAATCAGAGGGAGTTGGCTTCTTATCGTGACAAGAATAAATGGTAGTAACATCAGCGAACAATGCCACCTTAGATGTGAGAAAACCTGGATGATCGTTAATGTAAATTAAAAAGAGTATAGGGCCAAGGATTGAACCTTAAGGAACCCCTGAGGTTACAGAATAAGAAGAGTGCTGTCCATCGAGGACAACTTTTATACTACGATTGGAAAGGAAGGATTCGATAATCTTAAAGATGTTTCCAGATACACCGTAAGAAGAAAGCTTATGGAGAAGACCAGCATACCAAACTTTATCAAACGCCTTAGAAATGTCAAGAGCGATGGCCTTAACCTCTCCACATTTATCTAATGTGCGATAAAACCTATCGGTTATTACTGTTAGCAAATCGGCCGTAGAGCGAGAAGATCGAAATCCATATCGATGATCAGAAAGTAGGTTATGAGATTCGAGATTCGAGATTAAGTGTTTGTTAATTAAAGATTCAAAAACCTTGCTTATGATAGAAAGAAGACTAATGGGACGGTAGTTAGACGAATCAGATCGCACTCCAGAATTTTTAAAAATAGGGATAACAGATGCTGTTTTCCAGCAGGCTGGAAAACAAGACTCTGATAAACACTTGTTAAATAGTTTTGAAAGGATAGACGACAGCTCTGGAGAACACTTCTGCAAGACTATAACAGGTATGTTGTCCGGGCTGCAAGCTGGAAATCACTTTAGATACAGAAGCTGGAGTGATACAGATGTCGAGCAGTGGATCAACCTGTTTGACGGCTATATCAGGTAGAACGCAACTAGTGGAATCCAGAGATAATATTGATGAAAAGTACTTGGCAAACAATTCAGTTTTGTCTTTCGGTGAGGTAACAAAGTCTGAACCGTACAAAAGAGGTGGAATTACAGACTTGCCCTTATTATTGATACTATTAAAGATTCTCTAGAAGTCACAAGAGCCTAATTTTTGTGATGAAATACGAGATTTCATGATCTGAGAATAGCGGGCTTTGGCGTTAGACAAAACCTTTTTACAATGGTTCCTAGCAGTAATAAACAGACATCTGTTTCAGGCTTGGTCGGGAAGCGGGAGCGATCGCTCTCGAATACTGACCGCAGAAATTATATTTAGCTGCGAAAAACTGGCCAGGTTTTATAGTCGTTTTGAGAACATATAAGTTTATTTACAAAACCAAAAAATTTTTGTTTTACGGACATACATGGAAACATAAAAAACTTAAATGTTCTCAAAACACCTTGGTGCGAAAGAATAAAAAGAATATTCGCGAACACTAAAAACCAGCCAAATTAACGAACAAACTAATTCTATTGGTTCAAAAAGTACGCTGACTAAGCGAAATAAAACTTTGGAGCATTTTGTTGAAATGTTTTAGAAATTATACTATTCACGATTTGTTACATTTTCAGATTTCTAGCATAAATCATTTTAAGAATATATATTAATTGTTTACAAAAATAAATGTTTTAAATATATATTAATTAAATTGTCAAAATTTTAAAAGTTTATTATAAATTATAGATTTTATTAGTACATTCTTATTTTTTATTTCAAAAGTATGTATTCTTTATGTAAATGTAATTTTGTAGATCTGTTTTTTATCGTAATGTATCTTTTAAAGCAATTTTTATGATTTAAACAAAGACTTACAAAAATAATTGCGTTTTCAATAAAGTTATAATCGTTAAAGTTAATAAAACTAATCATGTAACACATATAAGAAGTTTCTGGTTACTAAACGCAAACAACGCATACAAAGTAACTCGCGGATGAACAAGCATCGTGCCTGAGGTCACGACAGAACACAAATATATATAGCAAATAATTAGATAAAAATAAAAGTTTCTAGATATTGGTTTACTAACTCTAATTATTTTCGCTTCATTTACCATTCTTAAAAACTCGTTACACTTTTTTCTGCTTTAATTACTAATTAAAAAGCCCACTCACTAAACATCATCAGCAATATTGTAAAGCAGTTTCGCTTCCTCGTCATATTTTTAACCTTTTTAGTTGATTTCTATCTTGTTAATTTAATGTCTATAGTAATTCAATGATTTAATTATTTAATCTGTTTATCTTACTAAGACGAATTGCTTCAAATATGTTAAACTTTTCAAACTACGCGAAACATAAAATAGGTATTAATAAAAATTAGCTTTTTTATTTATAAAATAATTTAGTTTAAATAAAACTAAAACTTGCAAACTTTGTTTAATAAAGAA